ACAGTCCTTCCGAGCTATGCTTGCTAATCGGCATTAGGGGGTATTCACATATTGAAAAATGTTAGCATTTTTCAAACTACTAACATGCTTTTATACTTTCATGTTTTATCATCTACACCTTCAGTAACTCACTCCAAATATTTCACATGGGCGTGTATACACAGGAAATAGAATATGTTGAGTAATAATTTCCCTCCCCCATCTCTCTTCATCTTTTCTCTTCCTCTCTTTTCCTTACATTATTCTATTTTGCCAAATGCTTGGCTTTTTAGAGCTTATATGTCCTCAAGCTACAAATAAAATATATTTTAAAAAACTAGAAAAATGAACAGAGTAGAGAGAATTATCAGGAAAACTCCCATACATGTCTGCATGCCTGTGTGCTTGTGTGGGCACACGTACGGGGGGGGTGGAGATAAAGAATAAAACTTTTCCAAATGACTCTGTTTACAGGGGATATTTTAACTACTCCGAGTCTCTCAGGGGAGGTCTTCGTAGTTAAGACAGTGAAGTACTCTTTTCAAAACACCCATTCCCCACACTTCACATGAATTAGAAATCTTTGAAATGAAATCTGAATGTTCACCTCAAAGAACACTCTATCCATCAGATAAATCTTGATGAAGAGGGACGCGTCACCAGTGTGTATCCCCAGGTTCTGCTCTTTCTAATCCCCAGTGGCAGGCAGTTTGAGCACTGCAGACAGAAGGTGCTTTGGTTGGCAAGTCAGAGCGAGGTCTGCGGTCATTCGTGGTTCTCAGCGTGTCTCCTTGTGTCATTCCTCTTAATACGGGAAGAAAGCAGAGAGATCTTTTCCCTCCCTGCGGGAATGGAACATGCATACCCATGCACCCAGTTGGTTGCAGAGGTTGCTGTTGCAAGAAAATAAATCAGAGGTTCTCAAATTACCCAAAGGATGATTTGCCAATGCTCAGGATTTTCTGTACCTTTGAAAGGAAGCACTAGTTCACACAAGCAAATCCATGGAGATTTTTCTGGAAGAAGAGGTGTCCTGGAGAAAGCTCCATGTGTTTGGGAAGCAGGAGGACCAGGAACGAACTCTGGGGCACGAGCAGCGTCTGTCACCCTCGCCGAGCCTGTGTTGTGGTCTCTAGTAAATTAAGGTGGTTACACTTAAGTGAGTTCAGGTTCTTCGGTTCCAGAGAAATGGTGTGGAAAGTGCATCTTTGCCGAGAAAATGAATACAAGGCAGACAGATGGTCAGAGGGACGGTGTGCTGAGCGTGGTTGTGGGTGTTCATGGTCTCGTAATCCTCGTGACAGGCCTCAGTGAGACCCTCGTTTACAGACGGGGCAGCGGATAACCCTGCCTGGGTCCTGCAGCTGGAGCCGGCCAGGGCTGGTCCCGGGCACTCCCCTGCCTGAGCCTCCCCTCCCCTCACCGTTGGCCCCCTCCCCCTCAGCAGCCTCCCCAGTCTCTGCCCCCTTGGCTTTCACCGTTGACAGAGGACAAGAGGAACCCCTGGGGACAGCTCTGGAACATTAGACACCCTAAGAATGTGTGAAAAGAAACCTTTCACGTTTCCCCTCAGTCTCATCAGGAGAGAAAACATCAGACATTTCAGCAGAGGGGCGTTCTACAATATATCTGAGCAACACGCAAAACTACCAGGGCCACCAGAAGCCAGGGCAGTTTGCAACACCGTCTCAGTCCTGAAAGGCCAGAGGAGAAGTGGCAACTAATGTCACGCGGCGTTCCAGCTGTGATCCTCAGAGAGGGTCACAGAGAGGGACCTGGGTAAAAACTATGGGAATCTGAACTGATTGTGGACGTTGGTTAATAATAATGTGTCAGTACCGGTTCGCTGGTCATAACAAGTGCACTGCAGTAACACAAGATGTTAGCGGTGGGGGAACCTGTGGACAGGCTCAATGGGGACTCTCTGTCCTGTCTGCTGAATTTTTCTGTACATCTAAAACTGTTCTAAAAGGTATAATCTGTTTTTAAAAGCTTATCACTGTCCAAGCAGAAAGAACATTTGTAGCAGTAGGGCAAACAGTGTGCTTTCACATTAATACTACTCTTTCTGATAGCCTTCCTCCTCATTCTACTGTAACACGATCTGGCACCGTTCAATGCCTCTAGGTACCTTCAGAATTAGGATATTGTGTGAAGATCGACTTTCCGTGAGCTAGGCCAGGGCACTCAGTACTTGTCCACCCACTGTTTCGGGAAACAATAAACAAAATTTGATTGGGGCGCAGCTACTGCCCTCTCATGCGCTCACGTCCGTGTTGCCCGTGGCTGCTTTTGCACCAGAATGGCAAAGATGGGTAGTTGCGCCAGAGTCCAGATGGTGCGTGGAGCATAGACAATATGTGCTATCTGGCCAGCCCCTGGTTTAGGCCGTTTGAGTTACCATGTGGACAGGGAGGCAGGTAAGTTGGACCACCGGGATTCACTGGGAGTAGAACCAGATATCAGAACTCAGCAGGTCAGCAGCAGGAAAGCTGTCAGACGGGGAGGGCATGAGCGAAGCAGAGTAGTCGACTTCGGAGGGGCCACTTTTTTCAGGGTCCCAGGCCGTCCCCTTCTTCTCCTCTCCCTCCCCCCTTTTCGTCCCTTCTCCCTTTTCTCCTCCTCCCGCCTCCCTCCTCCTCCTCCTCCTCCTCCTTCCTTCTTCCTTCTCTTCCTTTTCCTTTTCTTTTTCCTTCCTCCCCTTCTTCTCCTTCTCTTTCTCTTTCTCCTCCTCCCTCCTGCATAGGTGTGTCTTTGGCACCATGGGTAGATCTGCTTGTGTGAACCCTCCCCCTCCAGACTCCCACCTTTAGGGACTTTTATCTTCATCTACTTCACAAATTAATATCGACACCTGTACCATGGGGCCAACAGGCCCTTCCTTACAGGGTTTGGGAATTAAGTGAGTTAATCCACTGAGCATTTGAAGCCGAGTGCCCAGCACACAGTATGTCCACATGCTGTGACGTCCAGATCGGGAAGTCCCCAGCTCTCGCTTGCGTTGGCCAGTTGGCTCACACGTGCTACACACGTTATGTGTGTTTGGATGACACCCGCCGCTGTGGTTCTCTGCATGTCTGTTGCTGGTAACACTGCTTCCCCACTCCCAAAGTTTCCTTGGGAGTGGAGGTGGGTGCCCGAGCACAGCAGTCCTGGCCTTGCCCCATGTCTCCCTTCTCCTGCCTCGGGTGGAGAAATGACTTGATGCGATTTGTGGGTTTGGAAGGAGAGACCATTCTGTAGCCTTTTTTCTTGGGACAGGGCTGTGTTCTGCAGAGAGTACATTCTTTCTCTTCCCCTCTGCCATTTGCCTTACAGACCTGTACTTCCCTGTCCCCACATTCCCTAATTCTTTTCCACCAATGGACGAGGGTCCAGGAGGAGAAGAAGGGCGCTATTTCTTGGGCTTCTCCAAAGGTCCCAGGACCTCAGAGACAACCCTGGCCTTCACGGGGCTCAGCAGCACTCCTAGCGGCCATGCTCAGCATAGAACATGCTGACCCGAGGGCTCTTTGTCTGGCGCTGCAGCTGGAGCTGAGTAGTGAATAGCTGGGTGGCACGGGCTTTGGGAATCGTCGGGCCTGAGAGCAAGTTTTGTCTCACTCCACAGGGACCTGTGACCCTGGAGAGCTACCAAGTCTCACGAGAGCTTAGTTTCCTTCTCCGTAACTTGAGAAGAGTAATATGTCCATTTTGTGGTGTGGTTTGTAGGCACTAAATGAGACAATATGGGCAGAGCTTGTAGCATTTAGAAAGTACTTAATAGTGATAGTTACTGTTACCGTGATCTGCAGGCTTGGGAAAGAGGCTAAAAACAAGGCTGGTAAAAGCTTTGTGGTTTTGCGAATCAATGTCACCCCCAATAATTCAATTTTTTAAAAAAGCCTGGTTCTTCTGGATGGGACCTTGGCCATTTTCAGGTATGGCCGGGCTAATTCCATCGCATCGACGGGCAATTCTAACACTTGCCGGGCAGGAACCCACTGGGGCTCCCGCTGACTCTCGTCTTGTGCGTGTGGAAATGCTCTTCCTCCAGGTTTCCCTCAGCATCAGTTTCTTTGTCGCAGCTGATGCAGAGGGCTGAGCGGTATGGTTTACAAATCGGGGCTGCTGGCCCCCTCTCTCTTTCTTCATAAACCCCTCACCTGTGAAGCCCACCTTGCATATGGGGGCTTTGGACTCAGTGTGCGGAAAAGCTCAGTAAAAGAAAAAAAATCACACTTCATTAACAAGAAGAAGGGCCCGGGAAAGAAACTGTGCACGGCACACAGCACGTCACATGTTCCTGTGTGTCCAGGAAGTGAGGGTGGATCGGTCAAGCCAGGGGTAGACGTGGTCGGGGGATGCTCACGTGAGTTTCCTTGCCAGGTGCCGGTGGATAAAACCTGGTGGTTTACACCTGGTGTTTCCAAGGGCAGTGGTGCCAGCTCGTCTCCCAGTCACCTTGGGAGTGACTGGGAAGTGAAAGCTTCCCCAGCACCATCTGTGGCTTTGCTGTTGAGTGATGGGGTGCGTGTGACTGTGTGGTCGAGTGTCGGGGTTCAGGGAGGGAGTCACATTGCAGAGAAAACCCCCAGGGCACCGTGTCGGGGTGCCAGCAGCCTTCCTCTGCCCTCAAGGAAGCACTGTTTCCCTCCCGATCACGCGCTCTGTGTTTTGTCGTTTTCGATGTTCTAGGATTAAAGGGAGCGCCTGTGGAAGGGCCGTGATCGCAGGGGCACCGCATCCGCGCTGGGTTTTTTCCTTCCCAACTCTGGAAAGGATAAGCTTCAAGACACCACCGCTGCTGCCGTTGCTGAGCGATTGATTATTGGGCTGATATGTCTGTAGGGGCAATAACTCATTCCCAGTATTTTCACCAGAGGCATTAAGATTATTCTTTCTGGGCTGCTTCTGAAGACTGTTGTCACATCATTTATTATCTTTGTGATCGCCACACATTTTTGTAAGCTGTGGTTGCCATGCAAAGAGGCAGGTTTTCCCACACACTGCTTGAAATACTGTTTGTATTGTTCAACCAGGTGGCTGTGCCCCGATCCCAGAGTCAGACCTGGAGGAAAGGGCAGTAGAACAAGACTCCGCCGAGCTGTTTACCAGCCACCAGCACCTCGTGGCAGAGACACCTGTGCCTGGTAAGAGAGTGGGTGGCCTTCTCCAATGACATGCCTGGCCCAGCCACACCAGTCAGTGCTGTTGTATCAGACAACACGTGGAAAAGCCGCCTGTTCCCCAGCTCTTCCTCCTCCTTCTCCTCCTCAGCCTCGGTGCACCGCAGTGGGATCGTTTGTGTACTCCTTTCACAACTCAGACCTTTTCCTCTCTCACTCTCTTTTTTCTAGAAGTCTCACCCCTCCAGGGAATCTCGGAATAGTCCCAGCAGACTTGTCCAGTTGAAGGGAAGCTGGCTGTCCCAGGGCGGACCCCGCGGTGACCCTGTGCTGAGCAGAGGTGCAGGGCCGGCCGGGGGCTCCATGGGGCTCACCTGCCTGGAGAGGACTTGACGTGGAGGAGGGGCCGGATGCTGTACTTCTCTGGGAGGGCTGCGGTATCACAAGCAGGTCGGCTGGAACTTGTCTTACCAGGAAAGGGTGTTGCTGCTTTTTGGTCACCCATGTGTTTGCGGCCTGAGTTGACATCTTTCGGGGACAGACTTTATAATGCAGAGACCTAGATCCAAAATAATTTGATACCCATTATTTTTCAGAATTCTTATATAGTTCCTGTATGAAGTTTAATAAAGCATCTCATTGTCAAACAATATCTTGGATTTGATTTATAATCAGAGGTTATTTTTTAAATATATTTTATTGATTATGACATTACAGTTCTATTTCTCCCCTTACTCCCTCCCCACCATCCCCCCCTTTAGTTTATGACCACGTGTTTCAAGTGTTAAAGGAACTTACCTAAGAAAAAGAAGATAAAAAAGATGAACAGTGAAAGGACAGCAAACTCACAGTTATTAAGAACCACACCTAAACCAAAAGCAAACTAAGAGGACAGCTAGATCAGGAGCAGAGCCATAGAAATGAAGATCACATGGAGGGTTAGCAACAGGGGAGTGGGAGAAGGAGAAGGGGGGGAGAAGGTACAGAAAATAAGTAGCATAGATGGTAGATAGAAAATAGATAGGGGGGAGGGCAAGAATAGCATGGGAAGTACAGAATCTATAATCAGAGGTTATTTAACCAGAGGTTACAATTTCTTTGAAGGAGAGAAATTGATAGGAACCAAACACTTGGCTACTCCACGGTAAGGCCCAAATGGGGTTGTTTTGTAAGTAGAAAAAGCCACAGACCTTGCACATGATTTGTCCTCTTCAGGTGAGGAGTCGAAGCAGGTACGTGTTCTCCTATTATATGTGAAAATATTTTCAAGGAAGCGAGTACATCCTCTCCATTACCAAGATGCATGTCACTTTCTAAAAACCCATGTTAAAAAGGGATTTACACTTTATTACAATTAAAATGCAAGGTTTTTACATGCAAGAAGTCAGAGAGATTTTGCCAATTTCAGGTTAAAATTACCGTCTTGATCAATTTATTTAAATGAAAGTGTCTGTGCCGATTCTGAAACACCCATCTGTACGAGGGGGAGTAGTTTGTGCTTTTTCTTTTGTGAAATGCAGAAACTGCAAAGGACCTCTTATTTGTCATTTCTCGCCTTCTTGTTTAGGATATGCAGCAGAACTATGCTGTTTTTAATTGTCAGCAGTGGGAGTGGACAACCTCTGGACGCTGCCGGCCTGGGGGCTGTCTGAGTGCCCGTGGCTGGCCGTCCTCGACGGTGTCCCCAAGGGGAGGCCACAGGAGGAGTATGTGAGTCCATACACATGTGTTTCCATGATGTCTGTTTTTGTTCTGTGGTCCACACGGGCGTTTTGCACCGGGCACATTCCACGTGCTCATTTCTGCTCGCCCCTGTCTGTCTGTCTTGAGTCAAGTCCTGTTTGTCCGTGTTCTTCTGACTGTCCTTCTTTAACGGCTTCTTTTTCTCTTGTGCTTCTGTGCCCATCTGCCCTGGTCAGTCCTCCTCTCCCTTCACTGCCCCCCCACCCCAGTTCTTTCCCTTCACCTTTTGATTTTCTCCCTTATTTCCCATGATGTAAAGCAGATGCGTGTTGTTCGATTTGTCAAGGTTACTTCAAGTGCGTGGGGGCAGTGACTCCTCCTCTCAAGTCCGTCCGCCCGGGTTTTCCTTCCCTTTGCTGCCCTCGTGATCGCCCTGGCCTCTGAGGGGAGAGGTCAGATGGCCCAGGTTTCTGGTTGGGCGGATAGTCTTGTTGTTACCAATGTATCAGAGCAGGCACTAGTGAAACGGCGTAGCAAACACTAAGTAAGTCCTTACTAGGTGCCAGGTGCTGTGTGTGCACACTGTCATCACCCCCGACGTCAGTGTGATGTGGGAAATGGTTTCTGTATTTTACAAATGAGAGCTCTCAGGTCATTCGAGGCTCAATCATTTATGCAGGATCCCTTATTAATTAATATGTAGCAGAACTGAGGTTTTAACCCAGAAACCCAAATGCACACCCAAATGTGCAGACCAATGGCGGGACTACAATAAACTGCACTTTACAACCGAAGGCTTTAGTACAAGATGGCTGCATTTCTTTTGATTTCTAATGTGGTTGCACATTTCAAAAATATACATATTTGCCACTTCCGTTTCTCCTTTGGTGAATTACCCATTCATGTTCTTCTTCTCCTTTTTTTTTGGGGGGGGGGCTTGGTGGTGGTGATAATTATCTCGTTGACTTATAGGAGCATTTTGAAGTGACATTGGTCTTTGGTTGACAGCGTATGACATAGGCACCACTCTCAGTCTTCCACTTGTCTTTTCACTTTCTTTCTGTGTTTGTTTTTCCTTTAATAGGAGTTTTCAAACTCTTACATGGATCTGTGTACGCGTTTCTCCGTGGTCTCTGCCCTAGGTGCCCAGTGGGGGTCCGATTCGGCCTCTCCTGCCGCTTCTCCGTGCTGGCCAGCGCTCGTGCTCCGGCTGCCGTCTTCTGTGTGAGTGTGTGTTGTGTTGTGTGTGCAGACACGTCCTCCGCGGCGGGCCGTGGGAGCCACAGAGGTGTGCTCTCTTTCACTGTCCCATCTCTCGGAGCTCCACATGAAATGTGCCCTAGGTGTCACTCAGCTCCTTCATCCTGGGACATCACAAGTGACAGCTACTCCAGAATCCTTTCAAAATCCTGCTCCCCTCTGACACTTGGCCCCACCTGTATCTCTCCCAGTTTAGGATGACTGGCTTGCCATCCTTAGTACCCACACCCACACCAGCCCTGCAGACATGGCCAGACTTGTTCCCCTCCCATGTGAACGTGTTAGGCTCAGCTTGGGCACGCTGTGCCCACTTAAATCTGCGGGCACAGCAACAAGAGGGCAAGTCAGCCATGGCATCTGTGTCCCAGTGCTCCGATTCCCCAAGCTCTTTGGCTTCTGAGCCTCTCAAGGGGCTGGCCTGCTGTCTCCATGGCCAGAGTACTCCTGGCGCCACAGGGCTTCCCTCTGCATGAGGAAGAGCAGATTGTGTTGTGAATGGCTTTGCTCTAATCTCATTCATCATAAAAAAGCTATTCTCTGGCTTAAAAGTGGCTAGGCCAGAGGACCTCTACGTCATTGTTGTTTTACTACGTGCTTCTGACTAGCTGGTGGTCTGTGTTACCCTGGGCATGATTCCTATCACGTACAAACGATGGTGAAGATGAGCCAAAGATTCAGAACAGAATATACGTGACGTGTGTTCAAACCCCTTAAAAAGCATCGTGCCGATGCAGAATGGTCATTGGCCATCTGCCACAGCAGCAGTGTCCTCATCGTGTGCCTCCCCACAGGTGTCACCCACAGCCTGGGTGGGTCGGAGATGAAGCGTGTGCCCACGGGCAGGGCGGCCGATGGGGAGGTGCGCCCTGTGGTGGTTTCAGCCTCTGTCGAGCATTAGGACCTGTTGTTTTCTCTATTTTGCAGATCTGAATTTTCAGAGTGTTTTTTAATGAATAGGTACTGCTCTTGTAATAAGAGAAGGGACCCCATCTTCGTATGCGTATGTCAGGATCCCAGTGTTAGTGACATAAATAATAATTAGCCATATAGTCCCGTTGCTTGGTGTTGGGTAGATTGACAGCATGAGTTTTAGAGAATTATCTACTTAGACATTGTTCTGTGGCAATGCTGAAAGGTGAAGAGTATATAGCATGTTATCAAAATAACATTACTAATGTAATTTATAGCACTAATAGGAGCATAAAATTATATTGAAAATTATAGTTTTCTCTTCATGTCCTTAACCTCTCCTGATGTACGAAGTGATTCATTGATTCAGCACAAAAGCAGTACTAGCATTCTGATGACGCTGACTTCTCTGAGCCTTGTTGAAATAGCTGGTGTTTCATTTTCTGGTTTAGCCCCTAAACTGTGGAAGTCATATGGCGGTCACATGTGTTGAGGGTTTAGTAGACTTGGACTTGGAAGGGTGTAACTTATAATAATACCACACAATGGCCAAGACCTAATGGGAGCAAGATGCCTGTTGGGATGGTCCGAGTCCCGGGGGCTGACCCTGGGGCCAGGGAGAGGTCTCTGTTCTGGTTGACATGGGGGGGGGAGTGGCAAACCTCCTAATTCTCAGGCTTTCCATGATTTCATTGTAATTATATTCAGCCCATCCTTTCTTTGAGGGTTAGTCTGAATGCATGTTCTCATCCAGACGCCAGGAGCTGAGTTAGAGGCCCTCTTGGAACAAGAGGGGAAGACATGGTGGGTCACGTCTTTGAATTACTTCTTGGGGCTTTTAGTGACATTCTCCTCTTCTTTGTCTTTTTATTGTAGCCATTGAATTAATGACTCTCCTTAGACAGTTTGTCATTGATGTCCTCACTGACATTATCTTTGTCACCACCAGTATTTTATGTCAAGTCAGCAAGACATTTCAATATTTTTCCAGTGTGTTCCTGCAATTGACCCTTTATTAGCTGCACTATTAAGTAATCCGAGATCCTCCTTATTACTTCTATTTGAAACTTGTTGTCTCACCTTAATGAGTTTTCCTGCTCTTATAAAGGAGTGAGATGGCAAAGAATGTCACTGTACGCTGGGTTTGCGATTGTGTTCTGAGCTTTCTGAGTTGACCAGTATGCCCCATGGGCAACTTCTGCTTTGACTCAGTGTCCATGAAACCGGACTCTATCTTCTCCTTGCATCTGACGTTCAAATCGTCTTTCCTCCCTGCCACCCGCCCCCGCAGGCGCCAGGGGCACAGACTGCCGCCCCCCCACCTTGCAGCCACCCTCTGCCCTGCACCCTCGTGCACGAGGAGAGGGGGCCGTGGGCAGTGGCAGAATTCCTGGAATCCATTCCTTCAGCAGAACAACAAGCAATAATTTAACCATATTCAGAGTTGACCGCAAGCCACGTAAATATATCCCATTAACCCAGAATAAATGTCTCCCAACTCACCTTTCCGGTAGTCAGGGCTCCGAGTGCACAGTTGCTCCAATGCCCGATGGAAGGGAAGACAAGGAGAAGAGACAGCGTCTTCACCAGTCAGGATTAAAATGTCTTTTTCAAATTTTAAAAAACGTGACCGTGTGCCTGGGTAAGGAGCATGCCCTGAGTTTAAGCCTCATTACATTACTAATCTACCTTCATTATATCGTGAGAGTCCTAATAGAAACTATGCTTTAACGAGTTCATTCTTTAAAAAAATTCTTTGTCCATAAAAACTCCAAAAAACGTATGGG